CTGCAATTCCAGCAAGTTCCTGGGCACTCCTCTCAATAACCACAAAGCCCCTCATTTATAGGTATTCTAGAATTGCCATCGTGGAAATAATTTTTCCTGGGATGAGTAGAAAGTACAGAAACTCAGCTCTTAAACACTGTTGAGGTAGGACCTAGAGTCTGATGCTGGACTGGAATTATTTGGAAATACTTAGGTGTATTAGGAGAAATCAAGAATATCAAGTTGGGGACTAGAGAGATGGCTCAGCAATTAGGAGCACTAACTGCTCTTCCTGGGTCCTAGCACCCACATGGCAGCTAACAGCCATCTGTAACTCCAGTTTCAGAGAATTCAACACCCTCTTCTGATCTCTGTGGGCATTGCACGATATGGGTCCACTTGCATACATGCAGGCAATACACTCATACACATAAAATAAAATAAAAATAATAAATAAAATATTTTTATAAAAAGAAAGCTCAAGTTTCTAGGTACACACTTTTAATCCCAGCGCTCAGGAGGCAGAGGCAAGCAGATCTCTGTGAGATCAAGGCCAGTCTGCTCTACATAGCAAGTTTCAGGCCAGCTGGGGCTACAGGGTGACCCTGTCTCAAAAAAAAAAAAAAAAAAACCTCAAGTCTAGCTCCTGTCCCATCCTATCCCTGTTTTTAAGATCTACTAATATATAACTAATATATTAAAATGTGCATATTTAAAGTGCATATTTTTGGCACTGGAGAGATAGCTCTTCCAGACGACCTGAGTTTAGTTCCCTGTACCTACATCAGGTAGCTCAGAACCACCCATAATTCCAGATGCAGGGGATCTGATGCTTTCAAGCCTCCACAGGCACCACATGCATGTGGTTCACATAAACTCACACAGATATATACATACTCATAAATGAAATAATTAAATCATTTTAAATGTACATTTTGACATTTGGGTTGTAAGCACATACCTATGATACTGTCGCAGACATCAAGATATTATGCATACCCCTCACTTTCAAAACTGTCTCTCACCCATTTGTTTCTTATTTTGGTTGGTTTGTTGTGTTTTATGCTTTAAAATGTAATATAGTTACTGGGTGTGGCGACACACACACACACACACACACACACACACACACACACGTGCGCGCACCTTTAATCCCAGCACTCAGGAAGCAGAGGCAGGCCTATCTCTGTGAGATCAAGGACAGCCTGGTCTACATAGCAAATTCCAGGCTAGCTGAGGCTACAAAGACCCTGTCTCAAAATAAAATAGTAGAGTAAAATAAAATAAAATGTAACATAAGAGTTTCTCTTAATATATTTAAAGTGTAGAATGCCATATTGTTAAATAACAGATGTCTAGGGTGTATTACTCTTTGGTAACTAGAACTTTATACCCATTGAAAACAACTTCCCACTTTCTGCTCTCCCAGCCCCTAGCACCCCCTGCTGTTCTGTTTCTACGAGTTTATCACCTCATAGCACTCCAGTGTTCTTGATGCCCTCTGTCCTGGGATCTTTGCCTGGTTCTGTCTCTTCCACAGCACTTGCCCCTCAGAATGCTGATAGCCACTAGCTGGTGGCCGCTTCCCAGTTCTTTCCTCTCATTTTCATTTTGTTCTCCCTATCCAGGTTCTGTAACCCATCCTCTCCCAACACAAGCTCCATGTGGCAAACCCTCCTTTTGGAGATACTCAATCTAGGACATGTGTGAACCCTGGCACTCCTTGTGACATGATCTGAGTTTTCCTAGGGCCCCACACATGAACATCACCACACAGCAGGTGCTGCTGTGACCTCTGTCTCAACCCTATCCCAGTGCTCACCCCCACTGCACACAGATGCTTCCCCTGCCCACCTCTGCCAGGGAAGGGGAATATTCACTCATCGCAAAGACCCTAGTGTCTTCTCTTGCGTCACTGCATTGCCAGTTAGCTTCCTAATTTTGAAACCACCATTTTCTTTTGAGGATTGCTCATCTCATTTAGGGAAGCAAAGAAAACCTCAGAATGAAGCTGCCCACCTGCAGGAGCTTTGGGGTTGCTGGGTCCTCTGCACTCTCAAGCATGGAGTTTTGAACAGAGTGCTCCTAGCATTCACTCCAGGGTGCTTGAGCGGAGCATTCTGTCCAATGCTCCCTGCTGCCCTGATGTCTCCTGAGGTGAAGCACATCACAGTCCTGTTCCGCCACACTGTGGCCATGCCTGAACACTGCACACAGCCACCACTCCCTGAAGAGAGATGAGCTAAGGCCATACCCATTTTCTCTATACATCAACCTTCCTGACCCCTCCCTATGCAGGAACTCCAGTCTCCAGATGGCTACCCTCATGGCAGGTACCATTCTCAAAGTGTCTCTGCTCCTCCAACATGGAGCTCTGGGCTAGCACAGTACCTTAGAGTTAAGATCACTCAATTCTTCACTGCCCCAACATTCTTGTTTTCTAGTTTTGAGGACAAAGACTCTTCTCTACTTCCTCTGAATCTCATCCTCTTCCCTCTCCACAACCCCACTCCTAGAAGGATTAGCTCAGCATTGCTATCTGCCCATGGTTATTAGGCAGATGCTCTGAGGGAAGCTGAGCAGATCAAAAGTCACAGTTAGAGGCAGAAACGAAGAGGCATATGGGATCTGGAGTATCCCAGACTCACTCCCCGCCCTAGAGCATGTCTGCCTCACCGACCAGGTCCATCAGCACAACAGAGGCTCCCATCTGCCACCCTCATCCGTGCTGGGTAAGCGCAGTGGTGGAGCTTTCCATCTGTCTCAGTCTTGTTGGATGTAAAAAAAATTACAGAATGGCACCTTGACGTCCATCTCCAGAGTATCACCCACATTTCCCCTCTTTCCAAACTCTTTCAATGGGCAAAGTGTCAGTACAACAATGGTACGTTATATTTTTTTCCTTCTTAAAAACTCCCTAGTAAGTGCTACAGAAAGTCGCACCTAACAGCACATCACAGTCCTGTGCCCTCTGGCTTTTTCCCAGGATACTGTACTACGTCAAAAGACAGTTTCTGGGGCTGGAGAGATGCTCAGTGGTTAGGACTGTTCTTCCAGAGGACCCGGGTTTGATTCCCAGCACCCACATGGTGGCTAACAACCATCCATAACTCCAGTTCCAGGGGCTCCAACACCCTCTTTTGGCCTCTGTGGGCATTGTACATGTGGTGCACTCTGTGGGCATTGTACACACATGGTGCACTGACATACATGCAGGCAGAACACTCATACACATAAAATAAAAATAATAAATTTAAAAAATTTTTTCAAAATGACACTTTCCTTTCTTCTCTGAATCAGCCCCACCTTCTAGAGTTGCTGCTAACTACTTTCTCCTGTACAGGCTGTTGACCCCTTGTGTTCTCATTTATCTCCAGCTAATACACTTTCAAGTGAGATGATGTCATCTTTCCACCTCAGTCATGTAGCTTAGAAGTTGTAGAAGTCATCTGCAAGAGACATTGCCCTTTTCTGTCCATGAAGGGACTGGTACGCCACATCTCCTGGCTTCATGGTTAAAGGACCCTGTCTCGTCACATACTCGTGACGAGTCAGGAACTCCCACTGTGGCGCATCCTGCATACAGCATGATCAAGTTATGATTCCAGCTTATTAATCTTCTTGATGTTTCTCAAGAGAGGAAAAATAGAAATTCAAGGGATAAAAGCACATTGGTCACCATCGTTGAGCTGTGGGATAGAATACTTTTTTTGGACGTAATGGTTCCAGGTAGGACAGGGAAAGCTGGGCCTGTGAGCAGTGAGTGTTTCATTGTACGATTTTTAAACTGTTAGTGCATAGTACTCTTCCAGTCACATACATTATTACATTTCTATAAAAACTATCTCTAGAAAATTGGTCCTAAAGCTTGAAGTCTTCCAAAATGAGTTTAGAGGAAGTGCTATAAATAGGAAAAGCATACTTTTAACTTTATGTGTTAAGATCACTCTGGTCAATCACATTCAGATCTTACTGACCCCATGTGGGAGCAATGCAGAGATGTGGCACGGGGTGGGGGGGGGGGGCTGGTGTCAAAATTTTAATAAAAGTTGTGGCTTCCCCAATCATTCTTCATATTGGGAAGCTGGTGCCCATAAAAGCAAAGTAAAATTAAGAAAACTCCAGAGAGGCAATGATGGTGTTGGGGTGGGGGGTCTCCAGCTATTTTGATTTATGCCTCAACAGTCTCTCTACTTGAGCAAGGAGTAGCAGGTGTGCGGAACAGCTCTACCCAGCCCTGCTCCAGCTCTGGCACCCCCACTGTGGGCACTAGAACCCAGTTTTCTTCCAGAGAGTCTGTTAACTCGCTGTATGATTAGTTGATCACACTGGCCTGGCAGCCTTTGAGAAGAATTTCATGGCTGCTCTCTTATCAGGATCAAAACCTGCAGAAAGTTATCAAGGGAAACTACAGCCTGCCTACAGCCTTAGGAATATTCTAACCCTAAGAAAATCCATTCAATCAATCTGAGCTGCAAAATGTCACCAAGACAGTGGTGCACGTGAGCAAATCCTCAGCAGGTAGTGATGGTACTCTACACGTGCATAGGCCTGGACAGCTACAAGCATCCCCCAGGTACTTTCTCCCTGCATCTCCATTCACACCTCCATCCCCCCACAGTGCATCTGAGGATGTTCCTTGCTCAGTGCCTCTCAAACTACTGCAAACAGAAACTTGTTAAAAAGAAGAGTCTGGTTCAGGTGGTCTAAGGTGGGAGGCCTGGAACTCTGCATTTCGCCAAACCAGGGGTGAGACTTATTCTCTTGCCCTGGAAGTCAAGCTTTGAAGAGCAAAGCCCTAGGGCACAGTTTGGAGACCAGAGTCCTGAGGACTGAGAAGCCCATGGTCAGGAGAACTCACAGCAGGTGAGCTGAGGTAGACTATTATCCAGCTGGAGAATTTCTACATTACTGCTTTATTGACACCTAACAAGGTCAGAAGGGTAAACCACACCAAGAAAGGCCTCTGTTGAATGTGTTCTGAGGGAGCCTGGGAAGACAGTGAAGGAAGATTTACTCACGAGAGAAGCGGGCAAGTGGTCTAGCATTCTTGTCTCCGGCTTCATTGGCAACTGGGGGGGGGGGAAAAAAAACAAAAGATACAATTAAGAACAAGGCACATTTACCACAGAGCATGTCCCAGCTGCCGCTAGCCCTGTGGACACCCTGATGGTAAACTGCATTTAAGTCTTAAGGTGGGAAAATGTAACCCCTTTCTTTCTAGGTTTTTAAGACTACCTCAGCACCTAAATGAGCCCAATACCTCAGTTGTCTTTGTAGGAAATGACTTTTATCAAATGGACAGAATCGAGACCAATAACTTTCAATTAACCTTGACAAACTCACTGAACCATGTGCTCTTGTGACCTGGGAATTGATATTGTTTCCTGGGAACCTCAATTTGCTATGTTACCCAAAAAGATAATGAATAAATGTAGATATGCCCAAAAATGAACAAATCAAAGCACTGAATGGCAGCACATCTTCATTGAAAACAAGGATGCCTGACATTGTGTGTATGAGATGTTCTAGAACTAGGGAGGAAAAGGCAGAATGGTCTGATGATAAGGGTGGATTCAAGTTTGCACCTCCCCAGTTGAAGCTGGAGAAACAGTTTTGAATAAAAGTATGGGTGAGACCTGACTCAAGGATACGGCTCTACAAAACAGTGCTCAGAGACATTTGGGAGAACTGGTGTCCTCTGAGTTTGGGCCTAGTCTTAAAAACTAAAGAATAAAGCTGTTTTATTCAGGTAGTTGTAATATGGCATAGTAATGCCACAGTCTTGATTAGAATATTCTAATAAATCTGGAAGGACCAGAACAACCTGAGACTAACATGCTTAAAGAGGTAAACCAGATTGAACCCAACAGATTCTCACATGACTGGGCATCCTTGTGCCTCAAGCCTCCTCTGAAGGGGCTATCCTGTCCTTCAGTACATGGATGTACCAGAGCCAATGTTCTCATATCCAAAGGGGCAGAGCCAAGGCAATGATTTCAGAAGACGATGACAAAGTTGACCTTAAATTCAGATGTTAACAAACTTCAGGGCCGAAGAAACGGCTCAGTGGTTAAGAGCACTTGCTGCTCTTACAGAGGAGCCAGGTTCGGTCCCAAACAGCTGACAACTGTCCATAACTCCAGTTCCAGGTGATACAATACCTTCTTCTGGCTTCCATGGGCACTGCCCATATGTGATGCAGATACATGCAGCTGAAACACTCATACACAAAAAATAAAAATAAAATTACATGCACACACACACACACACACAAACACAAACAAATAGGAAACTTCACAAAGTGGGGCTTGGAAAAATTGTTCAGAAAACATCTCTAGAAAACCATGGGCAGAAATCTCTCACAAGGACAAGCTGCCTCCTCAGTCTTCTCTTCAAAGTTTATCATCACATATATGAAGTCACAATATCTCCTATAATGTATGACCCTACCATTGCAGGCAGAATAAAATACCAGTTACCTTGTAGAAACACAAGTTTCTCTCATTTCATTTTTCCCTTTTTATGTATTTTATGCATGTGCATATGAGAGAGAGAGAGAATGCAGGTGCACACACGCTACAGCATACACGTGGAGGTCAGAGGATACCCTCGGGTGTCAGTCTTCTCCTTCCACCTTGTTTGAGGCAGGGTCTCTTTGCTGTTTTCCATGGTGTATGCCACGATGCTGGCACACAAGCTTCTGGAGATCCTCCTGCCGACCTCCCAGACATCTCACAGAAGCACTGGGATCACAAATACTACACTGCACATCTAGCTTATGTGGGTTCTGGAGATTCAATCTTAGGTCCTCACCTTGCACTGAAATGACTGAAATGTGTCTACACACTGAGCCATCTTCCCAGTTATCACTAACTTTAATTGTTGTTATTGTTACTGTTGTTGTTTTTTGGGGGTTGTTTTTGGTTTTTTGGTTTTTTTTTTTTATTTTAGACAAGGTCTTCCTGTAGCCCCAGATGGCCTGGAAGTCACTATTTAGACCAGGCTGGCCTCGATCTCACAGAGATCTGTCAGCTTTTACCTCCCGAGTGCTGGATTAAAGGTGTACACCACCACATCTGGCTTATCACTAACCTTAAATATCATTTTTATTGCCGTAAAGATAACACATGATTGCTTTGGATATGCATGGAAGACAGACCTAAATATTTGCTGTCTATTTGAATGAACACCCAATCCAACCAACAAGAAATCCTGTTCATTTTAGATCAGATAAAAACAACCTCCAATGCACAGACAGAATAAAAGCGATTGCTAGGGCAATCCTTACTGTGTAGGAAGTCACAGCAAGACCAAAGAATAGCAGCTTCCCAGGCTGGCAACATCATTTTGCAGAGAATGTAAGGAATCAGAACTTTCTCTTGGACTCTTACAAAGGTAAGAAATTTAAAGCTCGCTATGTTTGCAACTTTTAAAATTGATGCATTTAGGGCTGGGCCTGGTGGCGCTCGCCTTTAATCCCAGCTCTTGGGAGGCAGAGGCAGGCGGTTCTCTGTGAGTTCAAGGCCAGCCTGGTCTACATAGTGAGTTCCAGGAAAGCTGGGGCTACAGGAAGACCCTGTCTCAAAAAGACAAAATAAAAAAATAATAATGCATTTACACTCACTTCTGGCTTTGGAGTTGTTCAGCAGTGTTTTCAGTCCTGGTATATTATAAACAAGACATTACTCAAAATGACCAGCAGGGGGAGGTCGAATAGCATCCAGCACTCATCTCCCATTTCGAAAAAGAACACAAAGGAAACTGAATACTAGATCCGCACCAAAGACGGTCTAAAAGAGAATCTTCTCCATTCAAAGGATCCAGGAGCTTCAGCAGCAACTGCTGTTCTCTTGCTGTCTTCTGAAATTTAAAAATTTTTTAAAGTTTCTAAAACTTCTTGTTTATGTCTGGGCATAACTAGTTTGCATTCATTGTCCTGCCTCCATGCAAAGTACTCCTAAAAATTTCAGAGCAGCAGCCTACGTCTCAGGAACTCCTGAGCCATGGTCCTCACCCTCACATGGAGAGATCTGTAGCTAGGCACGAAAAGTGATAGCTTTGTGGGCACTTAGAAAACTCAGCTAATTCTTTAGAGTTTTCTAGAAGAAAAGCAGTGTTATACCAAGAAGTTTGAGAAAGGAGATTCAGCTAGTTGTACATAGGCGTTTCCCTATCCTTGAGTTCAAATTGTTCCTTAATTAGACACTACAGACTTCTGAAGAGGCGAAATAAAGCAGGGTTTAACACAGACACACACACACACACACACACACACACACACACACACACACACACCTGCAATAGCTGTGCACACAAGTAGCTACCTACCTGCTAGCCTTGGGAGGGCATGTTCTTCCAGGTTCACCATTTCAGAACAAGCCTTGGGACACCCCTCCCCCCAACACCCTTAGCCAAGGATGGGAATTACTGACCCAGATCCAAGTTATGCCAGGTGAGACAGACACAAAATCTAGGCCAGTGACCTGAGGACTAATGCCTCTACCCAGAAGGAATGTGACGGCCTCACGCCAGCAAGCATGTCCTAAGCAATGCCTGCCCGTGCCTACAATGCATAATCTAACTCACCTGGCTGGAATCAAAGCCCTGGCTCTACCTTAATCTTCCACTATGGTGTTAGTCAGCTTTGTGCTGCTGCCAAATACCTCAGGTAATTCACTTACAAAGAGAAAAGCTTTGTTTTGCTTCATAGTTTTAGAGCTTTCGGTCCATGATTGATCCCACTAGACCCATTGCTCGGGAGGGCTTGGTAAACAACCCCAGTCGCCTCATTACCAAGAAGCAAAGGAGGAGCTGGGATCACACAGTCTCTTTAAAAGCATGCCTCCAAAGACTCAAAGGCTGCCCAGTAGGTTTCACCTCTAAAGATTTCACCCCTCCCCAATAGCACCATGCTGAGGACAAAGCCTGGGACACTTGGATTTCAGGGAGACATTTCAGCTCTGGTGACCACATTCCCCACACATCTCCTCACTATGCTCCTGCTACTCCCTCTCTCCCTGGGACACCCCTCCCAGGTCTTCGCCAGACTAACTCCTACTCAGGCTTCAAGGTTCGGATGGAGCTATTCACTTCATTCCCTTCAGGTCTACAGTTCTCCAACTTTAGCAGGCAGCACAACTGCCTGGAAGGTCTGCTGAAGTACAGATTACAAATGCAGTTCAAATAGTGGGTGTGGTATGTGCCCAAGAAAATATATTTCTGACAAATTCCCCGATGATATGGCGATGATCAGTCAGTGATCAAACTCTGAGAACTGCATAAACTATAAGCTACCCCACCCAATGCAAGGACCATAACTTCTCATTTTCGTATTTCCATTTTTTTCATCATTGACCGCTACTCTGAATAATGTGTCCAGGCAATGTTTCTAAAACTGAAGAAGACTGGACAGATACAAAATGCCTCGGGTGGCTTTTGGACCTGAGTTCTCAGGCTGGCTTCCAGACATCTACATGAAAACATGATTCATTTGTATCCACATGTGTTTAGGTTTTTAATTTTTTTTTTTAAATATTTTATGTGTGTGAGTGTTTTGCCTGCATGTATTTAAGTGCACCTGTGCTGTGCAATGTCCATGGAGGCCAGAAGAGGGCATCAGATTTCCTGGAACTAGAGTTACCAATGGTTGTTAGCCACCATGTGAGTGCTGGAAACTGAACCCAGGTCCTCTACAAGAGCAGCCAATGCTCTTAGCCACTGAGCTATCTCTCCAGTCCCAAGCTTAAGTTTTAAACAATTAGTTGCCTGGATTTAGAAATCATGAGATTTCAAGTATAAATACACACTAGTGGTTTCTTTAGGATAACTGGAAAAACTGGAACAGGCAATCCACACCTAACAGACAGCAAAGGATCAGTACTGGGATGCACACACACAATGGATGAGCTACGTCCTCCATACTTAGGATGCAGCAGGCTGGAGAGATAGCTCAGCTGTTAAAGGCTCAGGCTAACAACCAAAAAATTAAGAGTTCAGTTCCCATCACCCCATATTTAGGACACAGCTCTTTTCTCACTGTTACTGAAATTTTCACACTGTCCTTGTTGTC